TCTGATGTGTCACTAAAATAACTGCGAATTATATTCTTATTTGAACACAGCACAAAAATGAACAAACTTTCACAATTGAATGTTTTCATTTTATTTTTTACACTCACGGCGATATACAAGCTTCTGTGGAACCGTTTAGTATTTGACATCCAGTGACATGCAATAACTTGTCAACTATCGATTTGTGTTGCCATATGTTTTCTCAGTCACTTTAAAACTTGTAACATTCATATTCCATGGAAATATATTTTGATTTTGGCCCAGAACGCTGTAGGGCTCCATTGGTAATTCCGATTTCGAATTTACACCAATATACTTCATATTTGGTGAATTATTCATGTGAATTATTCATGAATGTTGCGCTCTAAATCGCCCAGAATTGAAAAAAAAATCGTTCTGGAACAAATTAAAGTGTCTTTCCACGGCATCTAAATGATATGTGTTAGAGTAAGCAATATCACTGAAAATAGTTCCCTCATAGAGACATTCTCGTAGACTGTTTTTTACCCCTAACCCCAATTCTCCCTATACCGCCAGAGTTTTTGGTGTTTAGGCCCTATACCACCTCGACCACGAGCCTATTTGCGACGGAGAAATGCTGCCTCTGAATAGGAGCTGAGGCGTTAGGGAGACACTTTATGTTTCCCCATATAGACATGTCCCCCAAAGGTATACTTTCTGACACTAATTATCTCACAAATGGTACTATTCACGAGAGTGTGAAACTCAATATTGCATTATGATCATAAAGGTCAATGAAACCAGTCTATAACATTGAAACTGGCAGTGTTATGGCGAAACGGTTGGGATAATGTTTGCTTATTAAGCAAATTTTCAACTTTAAACCTGTTGAAAATTTTACATTCACTTTCAAGAATTTTTTTTTTTGGGGGGGGTGAATAAACCTTAACTTCAATGCTGGGCAAATTAAACATTGACGTATAATTGACCGTATGCACAGCAGCCATTTTAGAGGGTTGATTTGTTACATAGGTATTCTCATCTTGGCAGAACAAAGGCACTGCCCTCCAATATGGCCTCTGTTTGTGAGATCTATTTATTGGGCAAGACAGGTATAGTAAATTCACAAATGAAACATACATTTATATTTTGTAATTTGTAAATCATGGCTTAGTCGCTTATCATTCGTTCTTTTGGCAAGTGTATATTACCCTTCCCAGAAAATATTCAAATGTTTCAAACCCAATCATTTTCAAATCAATTATTAAACTCATCACTCGGTTTGGAATCTTTTCTAACTTGGAACTGTTGTGCTATATATACATTAAAATGTCTCTCTGAATGATATTTACCGAATGTATGCAAATTGTTAACAAGCTGCGATAACTATAATTAAACGATACAACATAGTTGAGGACAATTTTTTTTTCAATCCACTATCAATCTTATACCATAAAAACACTGACAATTTAATATAATTAATGCCCCTTGACATGGGTAAAATACCTTTAACTAATAATTAACACTAAAAATGTGAAATATAACAAATATCCCTTGAAATGGGTAACAAGTCTTTCAACTACGCCGTCTCCTTAAATAGACATTCCACTTTTAATCTCTGTCTTCAAACCTTGATTATTTTCAATCAATGATATTACGCCCATTAATAAAGATTTGAAACATTTCTAACATGAACATGTTATGCTATTGTCTCTCAGAATAAAATTCACCGAATTTAAGCAAAAGTTTAACGGCTGTACTAACTATAATTATACGATATACGAAATCTATTTTCACTTGTGAGTTGACGCAATTTGTTTACAATTCAACTATCTATCGTGACTCGTGTACATTTTAATTGTGACTTGAAATTATGATAACTACTGAAAATGTCGAATATCCCTTAAAATGGGTAAATGTCTTTAAAGTACGACGTAAATACACAATACATTTCAACTTTCAATTTTGAAATTAGGATAAACACTGAAAATGACATACAATAAATATCCCTTAAACTGGGTAAAATATCTTTTAACAACGCCGTCTTCTTAAATATACAATTCATTTCAACTTTCAATCAAAGTATGTCACTCAATAATACATTAAAAAGTGAACATCTGAAGTATATTACACATAGGGTCTACCGGTTTATAGCGTCTGACTAAAACACCCCTTAAACTAGCACCCCGAGAACTCAATGTCTTTCGTTCACGAACTGTCCCAATGAAGCGAATCTACTTTAGTACTGCGATATCATGCGGTTTCCAATTTGCCACACCTTAAATGACGTTTAACCTGCGTTCACCTTAATGTTCATGCGCGCGCATCACAGCCTTGCCAAGTGACCAATCACCACACGCCTCGGCGCGTGCACTGCCAATCACCGGTCAAGCAGTTCCCAATTTCTTGGCTCTGATCTGCTAACCACATAATTCTGCGCTGACGCCCACAAATTGTGTGCTTACCGCGCTAGCAGAACAAGTCTGTGCTAACCCATAAGCGCAGAATCCTTAGTTACGGGATATACGCATGCGCAGAAGCAAACATTCCTTACTAACGCGAGAAATACGCTTATCGTAAGCACGGAATTTTCTGCTATAGTAAGCAGGGATTTTTCGGTAACGCTAAGCAGAGACAAGAAATTGGGCCCAGAGCTTGCCCAAATCCTTACAAATCCTAACGCGAGAAATACGCTTACCGTAAGCACGGACTTTTCTGCTATAAGTAAGCAGGGATTTTTCGGTAACGCAAAGCAGAGACAAGAAATTGGGCCCAGAGCTTGCCCAAATCCTAACAAATGAAGGCTCATACAAAGAGTCTATAAGGCCTCATCTCAATAACCGCGAACGGATAGAAACATAATATTGCACAAAAACGCCTAAAGCCGATGCGAATATACCGTCTCCAAATACTTTCATTTTTCGTATCTCGCGTCTTTCTACATCCAGAACCCCGGGATACATGGACAGACGTGATCTGCATTTATGATTGGTCAACACCACGCATGCGCTCTTTGGAAAACAAGTCTGAATAATCAATTCTTTGTCGCTTTCCACCTTTGGTCTGTTTTTTGTTTCATATTGCATTACTCTCTGCTCAAAAATAACCATCTGGATTGCTAATTGGTTGCTGCATTCAATAAACTGACTCCATTTTTTCACACGCAGGACTGGAGAAACCAATTTGTTGATAGTATGTGATATGTTTGGTGTTTCAAGTATTTCTTTTCCCCGTTTGGTTGGCTGAAGGTAATTTCTTGCTAATTAGTATCTCTGTCTGACGTTGCTGAACCATTCAGAGTGCATTATTGTTCGGAGGGCATTCGTTATGGTCCAAAAGGTTCGTAGTTAACACAGGCAATGCCAATCATCTAGCCAATACAACCACAAAAAATTGACAATCGCTGATTATTGTGGAATCATTAGACACAGGTGATGGATTCAAGTATACATAGCCCTCAGGGAGAAAGATATCGCTCAAAAGCAACTTGGTAACATCTCCTAAAATATATTTACTTGTGTTGTGTTGTGTTGTGTTGGATTGTGTTGGGTTCTGCTTTGTTGTGTTCTGTTGGTTTCTGTTGTGTTGTGTTGTGTTGTGTTGTGTTGTGTTGTTTTGTTTTGTGTTGTTTTGTGTTGTGTTGTGCTCTGTTCTGTAGTGTTCTGTTGTGTTGTGTTGTGTTCTGTTGTTTTCTGTTGGTTTCTGTTGTGTACTGTTGTGTTCTATTGTGTTCTGTTGTGTTCTGTTGTGTTACTTAAATTTTGGATTTATTTACAAGCGATTTGTTTGAAGATAAACGGTTCTTTAACGTTCACGAATGATTTTTAACAAAAATGTATAAAGACAATCTTCTCAAACAAGCTTGAGAGATTGCGCTTGTTTCAAGCTCGAGCTGAAAGTGTCTCTTTAAAATCGCGAAAAGTTGATGTGTCATCTTTTTCTAATACAAGCGTCAGTGAAATTGCGAATTATAGTTTCAAAACCTGAAAATGAACAACATTAAGCACAACACAAAGATTGAACAAACTCCAACATTTCATTGTACACTGACAGCTATATACGTCCACTTGTGAGTGATACGTGCGATTGTGCACTTTGTGACTGAATCATGAAACATCGCACGTTGGTTCTTCATGCCATGAAGAACATTTTCAGATGTGGAGACATTTCATATTTGACCTCTGGTGACCTTTGAGAGGTCAATGACCTTTACATACACTATTTATAACAATTGTTCTTGAAATTGTTGAGTGATACAATTGTATCACATATTTGACCTTAACAGCCCCACTATATTGGGGAAACAATTTATTACTGTTTTTCCTACATTGACCTGCAATTTCAGTTCAAGTATCGAACGTTTTAGCTATAGGATTTCCAAGTTACTTTAACGTTTCATTAGATGTCCTAGAAAGATACTTTCATTTCATCCCAGAATGCCGTCGTACTCCATTTCTAATTAAGAGCAATATATTTCATATTTGGTGAAGTGTATTTCACGAATGTAGCGTAATAAATCGGGTAGATGTTGGGAAATTCGTTCTGGAGATAAAACTAAAAATATAGCGGAATTTAAATGATATATGTTAAAGTAAGTGAGAAAACCTACATGAAATTATAATAATGAAGGTTAATTAAAACGGTCTTTAAACTAGCAGTGTGGAGTCGCAACGGTTGTGTTCATTTTTGTTTAATAAAAAATAACTTAAAACTGATGTGTCCAAATCACTGTCAATTGAAATTACGATGAACACTGAAAATGTCAAATATGATAAATATCTCTTAAAATGGGAAAATGTCTTCAAACTACGTCCTCTCCTTGAATAGGAAAAACATTTTCAAATTTCATTTTATGTCAGCTACGTATTGTTATTTTAAAAATGTTCAATCAATAATGTATCAAACAGTGAACGAACAGCTAAAATGATACACATACGGGTTAAATGGTTTTTACTAACGCCCCTCGAACAAAGACATTGACAAACAGGGGAACCGCCGACATATGGCTGGATAGCTCAGTTGTATAGAGACCGCAGCGGAGGTCGCAGGTTCAAACCCCGCTCAAGTCAATGTCTTTGTACCACTTTAAATATGTAGCTCAAATAACCTTTAAGAGTGCAGACTGATTAGCGATATTTGGCAGTGTAATTTACACAAACTAACCCACTTCAAAATTTGCGGCCTCCTATTTCGTTCGCCATGTCAAAGGGCCAAATGCAGATACATGGAACGATCTTTCTACTTACGACCATTCAGCATTTTTAGTTCACAAATGAAATGACGACCGAACCTGCAGGTCATATCATCCCATTTCCAATTGTATTCTTGTCCTATAGCAACACAGTCTTGGCCTTTCCCTCTTCCGTTGTCAGGCTGATCGCTTGCCCATCGCGTGAAGTTGGCACCAGAGCCGGCACTCCACACGAAGCGCGTCTCCCTCTCCATATCGTTGTATCCGAGCCAGGCCTTGACAGAGGGCAATTCTTCCAATGGATAAGAAGCTTTCAAAAGCTCCACTATAAACTGCTGTTCTTCTAAGCTGTTGATGGACACAAGGTGCGCTGGAAACCAATCAGAGTTGGACAATTCCCGACAGTACTTTTCAGCTTCAACCCAGGGCAACTTTTCAGTGACCAGTCGGTAGCAATCTCCGTCGAATGCTACCCAGCGCTTAGGGCAAGGCATGCAATGTTCTGCCCGGCCGCTGTCGAGTGTAAGGAGTGAAAAGAAAACGAAATAAGCGAATATTACCGAAAAGGACGCCGTACTTGCCAGATGAAAATTCAACCAGCCGAACGACTGCATGGTCGAGAATACCTCAAATTATTTCCATGCAAGCTTTGGGTGAAGATTGTAAAAATGTTGTCTTCTGTAACGACCACATTGAGCTGTGTAAAAAAATGGTACTCTGGCCTACGACTTGAACTGCGTTTTGTTTTCTTGAAGTGGAGGCACGCAGACGAGATCCAGAAATTCAAACAGGCAGCGCAGGTGTTTACCCAGACTTAATTAATACCGCTTCCCCACTTTAGATCTGAGAGTCAGTAGCGTACCGACGCCGCGCCTACACCACTGCTTGCTCAAAAGACTACATGTAGATCAATTAAAAGAAGCGTTAAATACCTAGTGCGTTTAGTATCATGAAAGCGAATGACGAATGCGAACCCCCTGTTCGTTCTGTCGATCATTGTATGACTTGCAAAGGCCTGCCATTCATTAGTTTGAAATGTGGTCTTCGCTCTGACAATTAAAGTAATTATCCACGGGGCTGTTGTGATGAAAGAACCGGTAACAAAGATTAAACGTGAAGCAGAGTGGCGGTTGTTTGGCAGCCGAATCGATCATAATGCATTCTACTTGTATATGTACACGCGTAACATAGCAAGGCCATTTTGATTAGAGGCGGGGGGGGGGGGGTTAGACGTGAAAAGTGACAATCGTCTCATCCCTGCACGCGTCTCATCCTTCTCATTGTATCCACTTTCCATATCAGACTTTCGTCAATATTTTATGATTTTCCAAGGCCTGCCGTTAATCGATTTGAAATGTGGTCTGCGATCTGACAATTAAAGTTAATTAGTTCCAAGGAGCTGTGATAATGAAAGAACCGGTAAAAAGATTGAACTTGAATCAGAGTAAGGGTTGCTGGCAGCCGAATCGATCCTCATGCAATCTGCTTGAACATGTACACGCGTGAGCAGTTGCGTATAGAGTTTTTTTTTGGTCAAAATTCTTTCGATCCTTAAAAAAGGTAAAATCGAGAATGGAATAAAAAAACATAGTAACGTTTGAAAGGTGGAAGTGCATGGTTTCATTAAAAAATAGGCATTGGACATATCACTTCGCGCAAGAGTAACATGATATAATTTCACCACTTATTGATCTCTTAGCTGCCATTTAATAAAGGTGCTTAAACGGCTTCCTCCGCAGTAATGTCAACTCCACATCAACCCCGCGCGAGGCCGGTACGGTTTTCGATCGCGCGTGTGAAAACCAAGACTTGTGGATCTTTTCACTCGTCGTAAGTAAAATGAAACATTAAACATAATTTACTCTGTCGAATCAAAGATAAATCTATTTATTGAAACGGAAAACATTCAATTTTAAATGTGATGAATTGGTCAAATAATTATTACTAATGCTAAAATAGCACTTGTGCACAAAGCTAAAATGTCACCTAACCCAGGTTTACCTTATCCTGCCTCCACGAATTTTGATTTACTTATGTTTTGGACCACAAGGAATCGATCTAGATGGTTTCCAACATTAAAATTCCTCGTCCTAAGGTCGTTTCAACGATAGAACGACACGAATTTGTCGCTACAATCAGGCGTGTCGCCCTAATGCAGCCGCGATGAGCAAAATCTGACGCCTTTTTATTTGATTTTGTAGTTCTAACAATTCCATTATTATTATTATGGGAGTGGTAATACGGCGGACTGCAGTTTCGAACATCCAGTGAGCTATCCAGATCTTTTGAACGATGTTTCGAGTGTTTACGGGTACGGGTCAGCTGTAGTGTGAGTTTGTAACACCTCCTATCGGGGCACATTCCACTTCCCCATTTTGAAATACTCCGATTTGTTTTTTTGAAGGTGCATTTTGTTGAACAGTTTTCTCTCATACTATATCGCTCACTCTGATATCGCTAACATAAAATCCAACCAAGTAGTCTTTACATGCGGGATGTTTTGATGCGGATCCCTTGGGCAAAGTATTTTTCTTTTCAAATTCTCGGTTCATTTCATCTGGTTGACTCGCCGGTTTGTCTTCATCACTCACTTTTCATAGACGACAACGGTAAACATGCGCCAGCTACTGCAAAGCTAATGTCGTAATAAGGCGGTAGGATTTGGCCACTTAAATGTGTCGAGTTCAGTTTTGATAACACTCACATTGGGGGCCTCTTGTAAGAAAGCGTAAGAAAGTCCTCAACCTATCTCAACAAGTTTGATCTAGGATAAGTCGTTTGTTGGTGACGTAACTTACACCTGCGCACTAATATCAACATGCGCATGTTTCTAGTCAAAAGTTGGTCAAAACGTGCACAACACTTCTTTGTCCTGGCTCCCTGCTATGCGTTATGATGCGCGCGGCTATTGTTACCAGCGAGGCGACCAACCTTGAAAGGCGATAGGCTGGTTCTGAATACTCGACCTAACTACTCTGTCGACTAACCATAATTCTCGCTAGGATGAAAACTGATGTCGAACGTTCGTAACTGAACCTACAAAATAACTAGCTCTAGCTCTAGCTGGAGGGAGATGTTAAGCGCTTTTGATGGGCATTCTATGTCTGCATGTCTCATAGTAAAAGAACTGGGGAGATGACAATATACTGTTTTTGGTCAGTCATGCAGAAGAACAGTGCTCAGGTGATCCAAAAATAGACATAATTCGGTAATACGGTATAGGGCTCCCTCCATCGGTGAATTGACTTAGAATTAACTTCATGTAGGGAATGTACCACTAGGTCGTCTTTTTTAAGATAATACTCGTAGTGCTTTTACAATTTCGGCATGAAGTTTCTATCATAAAGCCGCCACACAGCGTTTATTGAAGGTTAAATGATGCGTTTAATATGTGGGAACTCACCTCCAGAAAGTCTTGATTTTAAATGAGTCGATCGCACTGCTTTATAGTTAGGGTTTCTCGAGTTCGCAGATAAAGTACCGAGGCTGAGTGCAAGGTTTGGTGCGCCATGTCCACCCGTAAGACCGATGACTGTTAACACAATCGTAGCTGCTCTCTGACTTAGGTTGGTTGGTATACCAATTAGTATACCCAGAACTCTGCAAAGATTCACTCCAGACAAACACACCCTCGCGTTCAATATCGTTCAGTCCCATCCACCAATAGTGAACACGTACTTGCTGGGTATCTTCAACATACTTGGCCAAGAACTGCTGCTCCGCTTCACTGTTGATCGTGACAAGGTGCGCATGCCCGAATCGACGGGGTGGCAACTGCTGACAGTAGTTCTCAGCATCCGCCCAAGGAAGTTTTTCAAGAACCAACCGGTAGCAGTGGTCCCCAAATGACATCCACTGGAACGGGCATGGACTGCAGCTGGCGTAGGTACCAACAATCGACAGAAAGGTAGACAGGACGAGAAAAGAGAGGCGCCGTACAGTTGGTGACATCTTCACTCAAGATGTAGAATTAGAGGCTAGTTCAAGTAGTCAACATTTTCTCAGCATATAAGCAAACAAATCCAAAGAGGGACCGGAATATTAATCCAAAATAAAATGTGGGAACCTCAATGAAACTGTAGGTACGTCGGAGCATAATACTCAAAGTATTTCATTCACGAACCTGTCAAATAAAACGGGCCCGAGGAAGCGAATGTACTTTGGTTCTGCGATAACACACGGTTTCCAATCTGCCACACCTTAGCATGACGTATCAACTAGAAGTGCTTTCACCTCAATGTTCATACGCGCGCATAACAGCCTTGCCAACTAACTAACTAATCCTCATACTCCTCCACGCTTGGCACTGTCAATCAACGCCCAAACTGACCTTGCCCAAATCCAATTGTTAAGCGTAAAAATCTACAACAGAAAAGCCCATGGTTACTGTTGGTATGTTTCACGAGTAAGCATGGATATTGGGCCTGTTAATAAGGAACAACCGACGTCATGGAAGTTAATTAATCTTACTGTAAATGGAAACCGACCGAGAGGGTCATTAACTGTCCTCGTTATCATACCAGCAGAGCTTAGTATAAAGCCCCAATCTCAATAATTGAGAACGGTGAAAAGAAATGTTGCCCGAAGCGCGCTTAAAGACGATTAACCAATTAGTGATATCACCGCTATACAATAAAGTGCACAATGTGTGTGGGTGTGAGCATGTGTGATCTGTTACACGGTACCCTCTGGAGACATGTGCACAATAGGGAACAAAAGATTGTACACGTCGCGTCAGGGCAATTTTAGTCTCCACAAGGTTATCACGAAATAGATATATTGATTTTACTCAAAAACTAGGAATTTACCGTGTGTCGATTAGTCGCCAATTGAATTTTTTTTATGTAAGGGATAATAAGTCCTAATTTTGGCCCAGGAAGTTAATTCTGGTTAAAATAGCAACATTTTGAAACTTCACTTTCAAACTCGAAAACTTTAGTACACGATAACAAAGAAATGACTCCGCAAGGATACACATTCCAGTATGTCTGGAGTTGTGAACAATAGATGTCTACGCAGCGTAGGGTCCCGAGACATTTGCAAAAACATTTGTGGGATAAACCCGCCACTCGCCTTTCCTATTTTACCGGTTCATCCGATCATCGGGCCATCATATAATTAAACTGAGGTGTGCGCTGAAAATTCGGACCGATCTGACCGTAAACACGAATGATTCTTTCGCATCCGATTTCACTGGATCCGATATCAACGGAGAGGTGTACGGGCAGCACTTCGATTTCACTGGACGCAATATTGATGTTGACCAATCAGATTCACGAAGAAAGTCACGTGTCTGCAGACAGTAAATAAACTGCCATAGAAACCCAAGTGATAGAAACACCCACTTCCGAAATTCAGGGACTCACAACTCTCCAAGGTGTTTGAGACACACATCAAATTATAGCTTATTTCATCATATTTCATTTTCTGTTCATTTTTTTTGATGTTAACCAGTGGATTTTGGGAGAACAATCCATCGAAAGATCATCACCTTTAAAAGTAGTACTGTAGCCCATCGCCATTTTAGAATTAGATGCCTGCGCTCCATTGCAATTGTAAGGCCTAATTTCATCCGAATTTCACGGAAATACGAGCTTGCAGTCATGTGCACGGCTTTCACTCTTCCTTTTTTTTATTTTCAAACCATCAAGTTCATGTCCCACATGTAACCAATTATAGAACGGAATTTGGCGTGTATGCCGGTTACTTTGTGTCAAGGGCGGATCCAGGGGGAGGCCAAAGGGGGCCATGCCCCCCCCCCCCCCCCCCAAAACGAAACCATTTTTTTTTATTTTTATGTGTCGTCGCAATAAAGGCAGGCAATGACTACACCACCATCTTTTCCTGAAAAAAACATTGGTAAAAGTGGTCAGAAATTGCCTCAGATCGCACCACAGAGCATCTAGAATCAAAAAAAATTTAGGGGCCCTTAAGCGGGCCCCGAACCCCACGCCGTAATTTTTTGACCCACTTTTTGGGGGGACCAAATTTTTTTTTGGCCCCCCCCCCCCAAAAATTGTCTTCTGGATCCGCCCTTGCTTTGTGTGCGTAACTAACGGCAAGTAGAACATGAAAGGGAATCAAGATCAATATTGGCACGGGCTAAATTTGCACTGTGGTTTCCCAAATAGAGTTATAGCTGTTAAATATGTTGATGTGCATAAACGCCTTTTCACGGAAATAATGGTAGTAAACGCGAATACTACTTTTTGTGCATTATCACATCTTTGAACAGCGACCTCTATAGTCAGACGGTGTCCCTCCCCCTCTCCTGATTGTCTTATTTCCCAGGCTGCTGGTCCTCCAACGTTGACAAGAAATCGCCGCTACTCATTGCAATTACAGCCCTGTTGATCTACACTTTTATTTGACATCGGTTACTGCTTAAATAGCCTCGGTCTTTCGAATTTTTAGGTACCATCACTTCCGTGGGCTCCGGAAAATTTACCCCCAAACAAGCCCAAGTTTCCCATAAAAAAAACAAATTTCCGTTTTCACAATAAATAAATAAATAAATAAATCAATAAATAGATACTATGCAAATATTGAAGGTAACTCTTCGTGAAGTTGACCTATCGCTGTAGAATCGCCTTAGAATCGCGTCAACGCAGCTTGTGAAATATCGTTCAATTACATGATATACAAATGAAAGCGGAACGTGCAAAATCTGAGACAAACAAAATTAAGTGCACAAAAATTCCATAGGGTTGTCTAAGGGGCGTGGCTAACTCGTAAACGGCGATACGTCAATTACCCACAAAAGCGTCTGATGAAATGTAGCGCGACAAACTGATGTGTCATCTTAGTATAACGTAAGCGTCGGTACAATTGCGAATTATATTTTTTAAATTTGAAAATGAACACTATTTTAACACAACACACTATAAATAAACTTCAACAATATAATATTTCGAACAACAGAACATTTTACATACACCGATCTGCAATAACGGGTTAACATTCAAACTTTTGTTGCCATAGGTTTGCCTACTTACTTAAACACTTGTATCATTGAATTACATGAAAAGAGACTCTAATTTCGTTCAGATCGTCGTTGGGGTCCATTGATAATTCCGATTTTGAGAACTTCGTTCAGGAACGAACTTAAAGACTCCTTCCACGGAATTTAAATTTTACAAGTGTTAAAGTAAGTGGGAAAACTTGTATACCATTATAATTATAAAGGTAAAATAAAAACAGTCTTCAAAATTTAAACTATCAGTGTTATTTTTTACTAAAAAGAACGTTAAAACTGATGAAAAGGTAGCAATCACTATCATAATTTGTTGTTGTTGTTGTTGAAAGTACCTTAACTTTACTGCTGGGCGATTAGGAATGCACTCAAAATTGACGCCTGGTAAAATATGCCGTATGCATGGCAGCTATGTTGGAGGGCTGATTTGTTATACTGGTATGCTCATACCTTGACAGAACACACGCACTGCCCTCCAATATGCCGCTGTGTGGGAGATCTATTTATCGGGCAGGACAGGTGATAACAATTTGAAAAAGAAACATAATTATGTGTATTTAGTAACTTTAGAATTATGGTATAGCCACTAATCATTCGTTCTCATGGTAAGTGAAGTGAATTTCTCTGAAAACTAATCAAATGTCTTTTAACTTCGATAAATTTCAATCCATGTCTTTGCCAAATGATTAAGATTTGAAACTTTGCTGAATTGAAATTGTTATGATATACATGAATCGTCTCTCAGAAAGAAATTCACTGCATTTTAGTAAAATCTTAACAAACTGCGCTAACTATAATTAGAGGATTAAAAAAAGAAATGTCACTTGTGTGCTGACGCAATTTGTTTAAAATTTCACTATCTATTGTGCACATGTTAACCGTCACTTGAAATTACGAAATACACTGAAAATATCAAATATAATTAATGTCCCTTAAAATGGGTAAAATGTCTTAAACTACGCCGTCTCATTGAATACACAATACATTTCAACTTTCAATCTTGAAATTACGATAAACATTGAACATGTCTAATATAATAAATGTCCCTTAAAATGGGTCAAAAGTCTTTAAACTACGCCTTTTTCTTGAATACACAGCACATTTCACTTTTTAATCTTGAAATTATGATAAACACCGAAAATGTCAAATATAATAAATGTCCCTTAAAATGGGTAAAATTTCTTTAAACTACGCCGTCTCCTTGAATACACAATACATTTCAACTTTCAAACTTGAAATTATGATAAACACCGAAAATGTCAAATATAATAAATGTCCCTCAAAATGGGTAAACTTTCTTTAAACTACACCCTCACCTTTAATAGGAAATACATTTCAAAGTTCACACTGTGACAGTTATGTATTTCTTTTTTTCAAAATATTTCACTCAGTAATGCATTGAAAAGTAAACGGACGGCTAAAGTAATACCCATGTGGGTTTATGACTTCTTACTAGCGCCCTATGAACAAAGACATTGACAAAGGGGGGAACCGCCAACACAGGGCTGGATAGCTCAGTTGGTAGAGCAACGGAACAGCAATCCGGAGGTTGCAGGTTCAAACCAAGTTCCAGTCAATTTCTTTTTTCAACTGTAAAAATTTTGCAAAATAATTGGTGCAAGAATGTTTTAGATCTTCACAATGCAACAGATAGAACAATGCACTTTTACAAACTGTACAATATTTCACATAAGTTTGCAAAGTGACCAAATCTGTGTGGCCGCTATGTATATTTGTTTGAAAAATATTGAATTAACTCATTTTAGAATATTTATTGGTTACAGGCATAAAAAGAATTGAAACATTCTCTAACTTCGCACTGTCGTTTCAAACTAATTGAATATGTAAAATCTTCTCAATCAATGCTTTCAACGTAATAGATTTAATTATTTTTGCATTTTCTTACAGATAACAATACAACTATACATTGAAATGACAATCACGTAAAATTTCCCTTAAAATGGGTAAAATTCAAAACATTATATATCTATACTATTTCTTTTTAATATTCAATTTTTAAGCCAATGCACTTTTAAGACCGATTCTCCAGGTTGGCATCGATAAACATAACAGACAATATGATAACTGAGAAAATCACAATCATCTTATTAGCTATACTAAAAAGCAAACATTGCTTATTAAAATGTCCCTTTAATTGGATAAAACCTGTTTTAATATCTCAATGTTTGACAAAGCACATCGTGAAAAGAAAAACAAAACAGATGCAAATACAACACAAAGGGCACAAGAAGCCCTTTTTGTCGGACCAATGTTAATTATTTACCTGTTATTTTATAAGGTGTTAGTTACAAATCTCGCTACAGTGTTTGAGTCGTTTGATGTCAGTATGTACATTGCCCCTAACAATATTCCTGCGCATAAGCACCTTAGCCAGCCGCTTTTGAAACTTATTGAATCTGACAGTGAACACAATCTGGCTCTTATTAACACACTCTTAAATGTCCAGGTCAGATTCGACCTAGAATCCGGGTCCGATATGACCTGACTCACTTCTGGGTCAGACTGACACTTCTCTGAGTCACTTGTCAGGATCATTTAGTCCGGAAAAATAGGTCACGAAAACTTGTTAGTTAAATGGCCCTAGAAAAGAGTCTTTGTACACAAACACTTCTGATTTTGATCCAGAAGAGTGCCAGGTCAAATTTGACTCGGATTGTGAGTTGAATCTGACCCAGGACTTTTAAGAGTGCAGACTGATTAGTGATATATGGCAGTAATATTTCGCTATCCGAGACACCCTTAAAACCCCTTAAAAATAATAACCAATCGTGAGCTAATTTTACCGTTTTAGTTGCAACTTTCAAACGTTGACACACATAAACATAACGCCGGCTATATTTTTAAGCGATGGAGCCATACTCACTCTGCTTTTAATTCCATTAGCCTTTTTGAGATATGGTGGACACATAGGAGGGTGTTATTTGTTGTCAATGAACGTTTTTGTAATTTACCCAAATTGGCCCACTCCAAGATTTGCTGCCTCCTATTTCGATCGCCACATGTCAAAAGGGCAAACGCAGATACAAGAAACGATCTTCCTACTGACGACCATTCAGCATTTTTAGTTCACAAATAAAATGACGACCGAACCTGCAGGTCATATCATCCCATTTCCAGTTGTTTTCTTGTATTATAGCAACACAGTCTTGGCCTTTCCCTCCTCCGTTGTCAGGCTGATTTCTTGCCCATCGCGTGAAGTTGGCACCAGAGCTGGCACTCCACACGAAGCGCGTCTCCCTCTCCATATCGTTGTATCCGAGCCAGGCCTTTACAGAAGGCAATTTTTCCAATGGATAAGAAGCTTTCAAAAGCTCCACTATAAATTGCTGTTCTTCTAAGCTGTTGATGGACACAAGGTGCGATGGAAACCAATCAGAGTTGGACAATTCCCGACAGTACTTTTCAGCTTCAACCCAGGGCAACTTTTCAGTGACCAGTCGGTAGCAATCTCCGTCGAATGCTACCCAGAGTTTAGGGCATGGGATGCAATGTTCTGCCCGGCCACTGTCGAGTGTAAGGAGTGAAAAGAAAACGAAATAAGCGAAGATTACCGAAAAGGACGTCGTACTTGACAGATGAAAATTCATCCAGCCGAACGACCGCATGGTGGAGAATACCTCAAGATCATTTACATGCAAGCTTTGAGGTGAAGATTGCATAAATTGTGTCTTCTGTAACGACCAGATTGAGGTGTTCTGCAGTGTAAAAATGGTCCACTGGCCTACGACTTGAACTGCGTTTTATTTTCCTGAAGTGGAGGCACACAAACGAATTTCGAAAATTCAAACAGGCAGCGCAGGTTTTTACTCAGACTAACTCAATACCGCTTCCCCACTTCAGATCCGAGAGTCAGTAGCTTACCGACACCGCGCCGACACCACTGCTTGCTCAAAAGATTTAGTATCAAGCATAGCAGGAGACGAATGCGAACCCCTGTTCGTTCTGTTCATTATTGTATGACTTGCGAAGGCCTGCCGTTCATCGGTTTGACATGTGGTCTTCGATCTGACAATTAAAGTAATTATCCACGGTGTCAGCGTTGTCCTAGCAACACGAATTAACGCTTAAATTACGTATACATTTGTACATGTGTGTTTGTGTCAGTAGTCCGTGTGTATTGTTCATATTCGTTGTACCATAGGTAGACTGTAAGTATATAACTAATAAATAATGCATGTGTCTTATAAATATTCAGTGACCAGTCGGTAGCAATCTCCGCCGAATGCTACCCAGCGCTTAGGGCAAGGGATGCAATGTTCTTCCCGGCCGCTGTCGAGTGTAAGGAGTGAAAAGAAAACGAAATAAGCGAAGATTACCGAAAAGGACGCCGTACTTGCCAGATGAAAATTCATTCCAGCAAGCTTTGAGGCGAAGATTGCAGAAATGTTGTCTTCTGTAACAACCACATTGAGTTCGCAGTGTAAAAATGGTCCAGTGGCCTACGACTTGAACTTAGTTTTATTTTCCTGAAGTGGAGGCACACATATGAGTTTCGGAAATGCAAACAGACAGCGCAGGTTTTTACTCAGACCGCTTCCCCACTTCAGATCCGAGAGTCGGTAGCTTACCGACGCCGCGCCGACACCACTGCTTGCTCAAAAGATTTAGATCAAGCAGGAGACGAATGCGAACCCCCCGTTCGTTCTGTCCATCATTGTATGACTTGCGAAGGACTGTCGTTCATCGCTTTGAAATGTGGTCTGCGATCTGACAATTTAAGCAATTATCCACGGGGTTGTTATGATAAAAGACCCGGTAATAAAGATTGAACGTGAAGCAGAGTAGTGGTTGTTTGGCAGCCGAATCGATCATAATGCATTCTACTTGTATATGTACACGCGTAACATAGCACGGCCATTTTGATGGGGGGGGGGGGGGGGGTGATTAGACGTGAAAAGTGGCACTCGTCTCATCGCTGCACTCGTTTCATCCTTGTTCACCGTTTTCACTTTCCACAGCAGACTTTCGTCAATATTTATGATTTTCCAAGGCCTGCCGTTAATCGCTTTGAAATGGTTTGCGATCTGACAATTAAAGTTAATTAGTTCCAAGGAGCTGTGATAATGAAAGAACCGGTAAAAAGATTGAACTTGAATCAGAGTAAAGGTTGCTGGCAGCCGAATCGATCCTCATGCAATCTGCTTGAACATGTACACGCATGAGCAGTTGCGTATATAGGGGGGAGGGGGAGAGACGAGTATGTTTAAAAAAAAGTGGTTAACATTTCTTTTGATTCTTAAAATAAGTAAATCGAGAATGGAATAAAAAAAAAGAAGGTTGGAAGGTGGAAGTACATGCTTTTATTTAAAAAAAAATAGGCATTGGATATACCACTTCGCACGAGAGTAACTTGATATTATTTCACTGCTTATTGATCGCTTAGCTGCCAATTAATAAAGGTGCTCAAACGGCTTCCTCCGCAGATATGTCAACTCCACATCAACCCCGCGCGAGGCCGGTACGCTTTTCGATCGCGCGAGTGAACATCAAGACTTGTGGATCTTTTTACTCGTCGTAAGTATAATGAAACATTCAACATAATTTACTCTGTCGAATGAAAGATATATCTATTCATTGAAACGGAAAACATTCAATTTCAAATGTGATGAATTGGTCAACTAATTATTACTAATGCTAAAATAGCACTTGTGAACAAAGCTAAAATGTCACCCAACCCAGGTTTACCTTATGTTGCCTCGACGTATTTCGGTGTACTTATGTTTTGGACCACGAGGAATCGATCTAGATGGTTTGCGACGATACAATTCCTCGTCCTAAGGTCATTTTAACAATAGGGCGACACGAATTTGTCGCCTCAATAAGGCGTGTCGCCCTAATGCAGCCGCGATGAGCAAAATCTGTCGCCTTTTTACTTGATTTTGTAGTTCTAACAATTCCATTGTTATTATGATGGGAGTGGTCATACGGCGGACTGCAGTTTCGAACATCCAATGAGATATCCAGATCTTTTGAACGATGTTTCGAGTGTTAACGGGTACGGGTCAGCTGTAGTGTGAGTTTGTGACACCTCCTATCGGGGCACATTCCACTTTGCCATTTTGAAATACTCCGATTATTTTTTTTAAGGTGTATTTGGTTAAACAGTTTTCTCTCATTCAATATCGCTCACTCTGATATCGCTTATGTTAAATCCAACCAATTAGTCTTTACATGCGGGATGTTTTGATGAGGATCCTTAGGCAAAGCATTTTTCTTTTCAAATTCTCGGTTCATTTCATCTGGTTGACTCACCGGTTTGTCTTCATCACTCAGTTTTTATAGACGACATCGGTAAACATGCGCCACCTACTGTAAAGGTAATGTCGTGGTAAGGCGGTAGGATTTGGCCACTTAAATTACTCGAGTTCAGTGTTGATAAGACTTACATTTTGGGCCTCTCGTAAGAAAGCGTAAGAAAGTCCTCAACCTACCTCAACAAGTTTGATCTAGGATAAGTCGTTTGCTGGTGACGTAACTTACACCTGCGCAGTAATATCAACATGCGCATGTTTCTTGTCAAGAATTGGTCAAAACATGCACAACACTTCTTTTACCTGGCTCCCTGCTATGCGTTATCATGCGTGCGGCTATTGTTACTAGCGAGGCGACCGACCTTGAAAGGCAATAGGCTGGTTCTGAATACTCGACTTAACCATTCTGTCGACTAGCTATAATTCTCGCTAGGATGAAAAGTGATGTCGAACGTCCGCAACGAAACCTACACAATAACTAGCTCTAGCTCTAGCTGGAGGGACATGTTTAGCGCTTTTGATGGGCTTTTTATGTCTGCATGTCTCATAATATAAGAACTGGGAAGATGACATTATACTGTTTTTGGTCAGTCATGCAGAAGAACAGTGCTCAGGTGATCAAGGAATAGACATAATTAGGTAGTACGGTATAGGGTTCCCGCCATCGGTGAATTGACGTAGAATTAACTGCATGTAGGGACTACACCATTAGGTCCTCTTTTTAAAGATAATACCTGTAGTGTTTTTTTTAAATTTGGCATGTAGTTTCTATCATGAAGCCGCCAAACAGCGTTTATTGAAGCTTAAATGATGCGTTTAATATATGTGGAAACTCACCTCCAGAAAGTCTTGATTTTAGATGTTCGAGTCGATCGCACTGCTTTATAGTTACGGTTTCTCGAGTTCGCACATAAAGTACCAATGAGCATTGCAAGGATAGGTGCGCCATGCCCACCCGTGAGACCGATAACTGTAAACACAATCGTGGCTGCTGCTGCCTGAATTTGGTTCTCTTGAATACCACTTAGTATATCCAGAGCTCTGTGAAGATTCACTCCAGACGTACACTCCCTCATGTTCAATATCGTTCAGTCCCATCCACCAACGGTTAACATATACTTGCTGGGTATCTTCAACATACTTAACCAAAAACTGCTGCTCCGCTTCACTGTTGATCGTGACAAGGTGCGCATGCCCGAATCGACGGGGTGGCAACTGCTGACAGTAGTTCTCAGCATCCGCCCAACGAAGGTATTCAAGAACCAACCGGTAGCAATGGTTCCCAAATGACATCCACTGGAACGGGCACGGACTGCAGCTGGCGCGGGTACCAACGACCAACAGACAGGTAGATAGTGCAAGAAAAGAGAGGCGTCGTGGAGTTGACGACATCTTCACAAAGGGTTTATCAGTCCATAATGCTGAATTAGATACCAGTTCAGGTAGTCATCATGTATACGATATATAAGCGAACAAAATCAAAATAGAAATCGGGATTTTTTCCAACGTAAAAACTGAGGACCCCAACTAAACTGTCGGTACGTCGGAGCATAGAACTCAAAGTCTTTCGTTCACGCACCTGCTTGATGTAACGAATGTACTATGGTACACGGTTTCCAATCTAGCATGACGTATTACTAGAAGTGCTTTCACCCGAGTTTTCATGCGCGCGCATGACAGCCTTGCCAACTGACCAATCGTCACACACCTCGACGCTTGGCACTGCCAAACACCGTCCAATTAGAGCTTGCCCAAATCTTAACACAAGTCATGAAGGCCCATCTAATGAGACTGTTTAGCGTAAAATAAATAAATAACAGAAAATACCATGGTAACGGTTGGTTTGTTTCACCGGTGGGCATAGAATTTTATGTGTGTGCGCATGCATACATTTTGTAACTAAGGTTTGTTCGCTTCTAGGAATTAGTAAATTTGGTTTTAGCTCTGTAATCACACAATTCAGACTAAATCCAGCGAACTCTCTGACATTTCAGACAATTTCTAAATGATTGCTGCCTGTATCTGGTACAGGACGCCCGCTATCGGTTACTTGCAGCCGCAGAGTAAACTGTGTGTGCACCACTTTGGGCCGTTCTGTACTGATGCAAACCTGTCTTTACTTGCAAATTTTTCATGTAGCTTCTATCATGAAGCCGTCACACAGCGTTTGTTGTCGGTTCTATTTAGAGTTATTCATGCGTTTGCTAGGGGAAAACTCACTTCCAGAAAGTCTTGCTAGTAAATGAGTCGATCGGATGTTTATAGTTACGGCTTCTGGAGCTCACACATAAAGTAAAACAAATTACTGCAAAGAGATGTGTACCATTCCCAAGATTGATAAGTATAAACACAATTGGACCTGCTGCCTGAATTAGGTTGGTTTGTATTCCAATTAGTATACCAAGAACTCTGCAAAGATGCACTCCAGACATACACACCCTCGCGTTCCATATCGTTCAGTCCTATCCACCAAATGTACAACCTTGCTTGCTGGGTATATTCAGATAGTAGCCAAGAACTGCTCCTCCGCTTTACTGTTGATCGTGACTAGGTGCGCATGCCCGAATCGACTCGATGGCAATTGCTGACAGTAATTCTCAGCATCCACCCAAGGAAGTTTTTCAAGAACCAACCGGTAGCAATGGTCCCCAAATGAAACCCACTGGAACGGGCAAGGACTGCAGCTAGCGTGGGTACCAACGATCGACAGAAAGGTAGATAGAGCAAGAAAAGCGAGGCATCGTAGAGTTGGTGACATCTTCAGAAGAGGTTTATCAGTCCATCGTTATTTCAAAGCAGTATACACGGCCTATAAGCGATCAGATCACACAAGGGGATGGGAATGTTATCGCAGATAACAGCCGGAACTTCGGTTAAACTACCGGCAGTTCAAAAGCATAAATCTAAATATGCCTCGTCCATGTACGGGTCCGTTGATGAAGCGAATGTGATTTTGGTACTGCGATAAACACACGGTTTCCAATATGCCAGACCTTAATATAACGTATAAACTAGAAGAGCTTTCATGATAATATTCATGCGCGCATGAAACTGTTAATTTTCATTGCAGCCTTGCCAAGTGACCAATCGCCACACGCCTCGGCGCGTGATACTGCCAATCAGTGTCCAATCAGCGCCTCACAAATCGCAATAAAGAGCCGGTTCAGTGTACAGCACAATCAGGTATACGCAGAAAACCTTAAGAAAGTAATTAGACTCACAGCGCTCATGCATAAGGAATAAGCATCTGACTCCACATTTTCATACTTGGGACTGGAGAAACTAATGTTTTGATAGTATCTAATTTGTTTGGTGTTTCAAGTATTTTTTCCCCGTTTGGTTTGCTGAAGGTAATTTCTTGCTAATTAGTATCTTCGTCTGACGTTGCTGAACCATTCAGAGTGCATTATTGTTGAGGGCATTCGTTATACCTGTGTTATGGTAACACAGGCAATGCCAATCATCCAGCCATCCAACCAAAAACACATGACAATCGCTGATTATTGTGGAATCATTAGACACAGGTGATGGATTCAAGTACATTGCCCTCAGGGAGAAAGATATCGCTCAAAAGCAACTTGGTAAGATCTCCTAAAATATAAATACTTTTGTTGTGTTGGGTTGTGTGGAGTTGTGTTGGGTTATGTTGGGTTCTGTTGTGTTGTGTTATCTTGTGTTGTGTTCTGTTGTTTTCTGTTGGTTTCTGTTGTGTTCTGTTGTATTGTGTTGTGTTCTGTTGTGTTACTTAAATTTTGGATTCATTTAAAAGCGATTTGTTTGAAGATAAACGGTTCTTTAACGTTCACGAATCATTTTTAACAAAAATATATAAAGGCAATCTTCTCAAACAAGCTTGAGAGATTGTGCTTGTTTCAAGCTCGAGCTGAAAGTGTCTCATTAAAATCGCAAAAAGTTGATGTGTCACCTTTTTCTAATACAAGCGTCAGTGAAATTGCGAATTATAGTTTCAAAACCTGAAAATGAACAACATTAAGCACAACACAAAGATTGAACAAACTTCAACATTTCATTGTACACTGACAGCTATATACGTCCAATTGTGAGTGAAACGTGCGATTGTGCACCTTGTGACTGAATCATGAAACATCGCACGTTGGTTCTTCATGCCATGAAGAACATTTTGAGATGTGGAGACATTTCATATTTGACCTCTGGTGACCTTTGAGAGGTCAATGACCTTTACATACACTATTTATAACAATTGTTCTTGAAATTGTTGAGTGATACAATTGTATCACATATTTGACCTTAACAGCCCCACTATTGGGGAAACAATTTATTACTGTTTTACCTACACTGACCTGCAATATCAGTTCAAGTATCGAACGTTTTAGCTATAGGATTTCCAAGTTACTTTAACGTTTCATTAGATGTCCTAGAAAGATGCTTTTATTTCATCCCAGAGTGCCTTCGTACTCCATTTCGAATTTACAGCAATATATTTTATATTTGGTGGAGTGTATTTCACGAATGAAGCGTTATAAATCGGGTAGATATTGGGAAATCCGTTCTGGAAATAAAACTAAAAATATAGCGGAATTTAAATGATATATGTTAAAGTAAGTGGGAAAACCTGCATGAAATTATAATAACGAAGGTTAATTTAAACGGTCTTTAAAACTTTAAACTAGCAGTGTGGAGTCGCAACGGTTGTGTTCATTTTTGGTTAGTAAAAAATGACTTAAAACTGATGACTGTGTCCAAATCACTGTCAATTGAAATTACGATGAACACTGAAAATGTCAAATAAGATAAATATCCCTTAAAATAGGAAAATGTCAAACTACGCCCTCTCCTTGAATAGGAAAAACATTTTCAACTTTCATTTTATGTCAGCTACGTAGTGTTATTTTAAAAATGTTCAATCAATAATGTATCAAACAGTGAACGAACAGCTAAAATGATACACATACGGGTTAAATGGTTTCTTACTAACGCCCCTTGAACAAAGACATTGACATATAGGGGAACCGCCGACATATGGCGTTCGCCTTGTCAAAGGGGCAAATGCAGATACAAGGAACGATCTTCCTACTTACGACCATTCAGCATTTTTAGTTCACAAATGAAATGACGACCGAACCTGCAGGTCATATCATCCCATTTCCAATTGTATTCTTGTCTTATAGCAACACAGTCTTGGCCTTTCCCTCTTCCGTTGTCAGGCTGATCGCTTGCCCATCGCGTGAAGTTGGCACCAGAGCTGGCACTCCAAACGAAGCGCGTCTCCCTCTCCATATCGTTGTATCCGAGCCAGGCCTTTACAGAAGGCAATTCTTGCAATAGATAAGAAGCTTTCAAAAGCTCCACTATAAACTGCTGTTCTTCTAAGCTGTTGATGGACACAAGGTGCGCTGGAAACCAATCAGAGTTGGACAATTCCCGACAGTAGTTTTCAGCTTCAACCCAGGGCAACTTTTCAGTGACCAGTCGGTAGCAATCTCCGCCGAATGCTACCCAGCGCTTAGGGCAAGGGATGCAATGTTCTTCCCGGCCGCTGTCGAGTGTAAGGAATGAAAAGAAAACGAAATAAGCGAAGATTACCGAAAAGGACGCCGTACTTGCCAGATGAAAATTCAACCAGCCGAACCACTGCATGGTCGAGAATACCTCAAATTATTTTCATGCAAGCTTTGGGTGAAGATTGCAAAAATGTAGTCTTCTGTAACGACCACATTGAGGTGTTTCGCTGTGTAAATAAATGGTACTCTGGCCTACGACTTGAACTGCGTTTTGTTTTCTTGAAGTGGAGGCACGCAGACGAGTTCCGAAAATTCAAACAGGCAGCGCAGGTGTTTACTCAGACTAGCTCAATACCGCTTCCCCACTTCAGATCTAAGAGTCAGTAGCTTACTGACGCCTCGCCGACACCACGTACTGCTTGCTCAAAAGACTACAGGTAGATCAATTAAAAGAAGCGTTAATACCTAGCGAGTTTAGTATCATGAAAGAGACGAATGCGACCCCCTCCCCGTTCGTTCTGTCCATCATTGTATGACTTGCGAAGGCCTGTTGTTCATCGCTTTGAAATGTGGTCTTCGATCTGACAATTAAAGTAATTATCCACGGGGCTGTTGTGATGAAAGAACCGGTAAGAAAGATTGAACGTGAAGCAGAGTGACGGTTGTTTTGCAGCCGAATCGATCACAATGCATTTTACTTGTATATGTACACGCGTAACATAGCAAGGCCATTTTGATTAGAGGCGGGGGGGGGGGGGGGGGGGGGGGGGGGGTTAGACGTGAAAAGTGACAATCGTCTCATCCCTGCACGCGTCTCATCCTTCTCATTGTATCCACTTTCCACAGCAGACTTTCGTCAATATTTTATGATTTTCCAAGGCCTGCCGTTAATCGCTTTGAAATGTGGTCTGCGATCTGACAATTAAAGTTAATTAGTTCCAAGGAGCTGTGATAATGAAAGAACCGGTAAAAAGATTGAACTTGAATCAGAGTAAGGGTTGCTGGCAGCCGAATCGATCCTCATGCAATCTGCTTGAACATGTACACGCATGAGCAGTTGCGTATATAATTTTACTGCTCATTGATCGCTTAGCTGCCAATTAATTAAGGTGCTTAAACGGCTTCGTCCGCAAAAATGTCAACTCCACATCAACCCCGCGCGAGGCCGGTACGGTTTTAGATCGCGCGTGTGAACATCAAGACTTGTGGATCTTTTCACTCGTCATAAGTATAATGAAACATTAAACATAATTTACTCTGTCGAATCAAAAATAAATCTTTTCATTGCAAAGGAAAACATTCAATTTTAAATGTGAAGTATAGGTCAAATATTTATTACTAATGCTATAAAATAGCACTTGTGAACAAAGTTAAAATGTCACCTAATCCTGGTTTACCTTATCCTGCCTCCACGAATTTCGGTGTACTTATGTTTTGGACCACAAGGAATCGATCTAGATGGTTTGCGACAGTAACATTCCTCGTCCTAAGGTCGTTTTAACAATAGGGCGACACGAATTTGTCGCCCCAGTAAGGCGTGTCGCCCTAATGCAGACGCGATGAGCAAAATCTGTCGCCTTTTTATTTGATTTTGTAGTTCTAACAATTCCATTATTATTATGATGGGAGTGGTCATACGGCGGACTGCAGTTTCGAACATCCAATGAGATATCCAGATCTTTTGAACAATGTTTCGAGTGTTTACGGGTACGGGTCAGCTGTAGTGTGAGTTTGTAACACCTCCTATCGGGGCACATTCCACTTCCCCATTTTGAAATACTCCGATTTTTTTTTTGAAGGTGCATTTTGTTGAACAGTTTTCTCTAATACTATATCGCTCACTCTGATATCGCTAACATAAAATCCAACCAAGTAGTCTTTACATGCGGGATGTTTTGATGCGGATCCCTTGGGCAAAGTATTTTTCTTTTCAAATTCTCGGTTCAATTCATCTGGTTGACTCGCCGGTTTGTCTTCATCACTCACTTTTCATAGACGACACCGGTAAACATGCGCCAGCTACTGCAAAGCTTATGTCGTAATAAGGCGGTAGGATTTGGCCACTTAAATGTGTCGAGTTCAGTTTTGATAACACTCACATTGGGGGCCTCAACCTATCTCAACAAGTTTGATCTAGGATAAGTCGTTTGTTGGTGACGTAACTTACACCTGCGCACTAATATCAACATGCGCATGTTTCTAGTCAAAAGTTGGTCAAAACGTGCACAACACTTCTTTGCCTGGCTCCCTGCTATGCGTTATGATGCGCGCGGCTATTGTTACCAGCGAGGCGACCAACCTTGAAAGGCGATAGGCTGGTTCTGAATACTCGACCTAACTACTCTGTCGACTAACCATAATTCTCGCTAGGATGAAAACTGATGTCGAACGTTCGTAACTGAACCTTCACAATAGCTAGCTCTAGCTCTAGCTGGAGGGAGATGTTAAGCGCTTTTGATGGGCTTTCTATGTCTGCATGTCTCATAGTAAAAGAACTGGGGAGATGACAATATACTGTTTTTGGTCAGTCATGCAGAAGAACAGTGATCAGGTGATCCAAAAATAGACATAATTCGGTAATACGGTATAGGGCTCCCTCCATCGGTGAATTGACTTAGAATTAACTTCATGTAGGGAATGTACCACTAGGTCGTCTTTTTTAAGATAATACTCGTAGTGCTTTTACAATTTCGGCATGAAGTTTCTATCATAAAGCCGTCACACAGCGTTTATTGAAGGTTAAATGATGCGTTTAATATGTGGGAACTCACCTCCAGAAAGTCTTGATTTTAAATGAGTCGATCGCACTGCTTTATAGTTACGGTTTCCCGAGTTCGCACATAAAGAACCAATGAGCAGTGCAAGGATGGTTGAACCATGCCCACCCGTGAGACCGATGACTGGCAACACAATCGTGGCTGCCGCCTAAATGTGGGTAGCTTGGAATCCACTTAGTGTACCCAGGGCTCTGCAAAGATTCACTCCAGACGTACACTCCCTCGCGTTCAATATCGTTCAATCCCATCCACCAATAGGTTACTTGCTGGGTATCTTCAACATACTTAACCAAGAACTGCTGCTCCGCTTCACTGTTGATCGTGACAAGGTGCGCATGCCCGAATCGACGGGGTGGCAACTGCTGACAGTAGTTCTCGGCATCCGCCCAAGTAAGATGTTCAAGAACCAACCGGTAGCAATGGTCCCCAAATGACATCCACTGGAACGGGCACGGACTGCAGCTGGCGTGGGTACCAACGATCGACAGAAAGGTAGATAGTGCAAGAAAAGAGAGTCGTCGTAGAGTTGGTGACATCTTCACAAAAGGTTTATCGGTCCATAATGCTGAATTAGAAACCAGTTTATGTAGTCAACATATACACAGCATATAAGCGAACAAATCCAAACAGGGACCGGGATATTTATCCAAGATAAAATGTGGAAACCTGCAGTGAAACTGTAGGTACGTCAGAGCATAATACTCAAAGTATTTCATTCACGAACCTGCCAAATAAAACGGACCCGAGGAAGCGAATGTACTTTGGTTCTGCGATAACACACGGTTTCTAATCTACCACACCTTAGCATGACGTATCAACTAGAAGTGCTTTCACCTGAAAGGCTGTAATGCGCGCGCATTACAGCCTTGCTAACTAACTAATCCTCATACTCCACGCTTGGCACTCTCAATCAACGCCCAAACTGACCTTGCCCAAATCTAATTGTTATGCGTAAAAATCTACAACAGAAAAGCCCATGGTTACTGTTGGTATGTTTCACGAGTAAGCATGGATATTGGGCCTGTTAATAAGGAACAACCGACGCCATGGAAGTTAATTAATCTTACTGTAAATGGAAACCGATCGAGAGGGTCATTAACTGTCCTCGTTATCAAACCAGCAGAGCTTAGTATAAAGCCCCAATCTCGATAATTGAGAACGGTGAAAAGAAATATTGCTCGAAGCGCGCTTAAAGATGATTAACCAATTAGTGATATCACCGCTATACAATAAAGTGCACAATGTGTGTGGGTGTGAGCAAACGTAATCTGTTACACGGTACCCTCTGGAGACACGTGCACAATAGGGAACAAAAGATTGGACACGTCTCGTCCGGGCAATTCCTATCGGTGAATTCGTCTCCACAAGGTTATCACGAAATAGATATATTGACTTTACTCAAAAACTAGGAATTTTCAAGGTGTGTCGATTAGTCGCCAATTGAATTTTTTTTACGTAAGGGATATTAAGTCCTAATTTTGGCCTAGGAAATTAATTATTGTTAAAATAGGATCAATTTGAAACCTCACTTTAAAACTCGAAAACTTTAGTACACGAGAACAAAGGAATGACTCCACAAGGATACACATTCCAGTATGTCTGGAGTTGTGAACAATAAATGTCTACACAGCGTAGGGTCCCGAAACATTTGCAAAAACTTGTAGGCATTTGTGGGATAAACCCGGCACTCGCCTTTCCTATTTTACCGGTTCATCGGATCATCGGGCCATCATAATAATTAAACTGAGGTGTGCGCTGAAAATTCGGACCGATCTGACCGTAAACACGTATGATTCTTTCGCATCCGATTTCACTGGATCCGATGTCAACGGAGAGGTGTGCGGGCAGCACTTCAATTTCACTGGACGCAATATTGATGTTGACCAATCAGATTCACGAAGAAAGTCACGTGTCTGCAGACAGTAAATAAACTGCCATAGAAACCCAAGTGATAGAAACACCCACTTCCGAAATTCAGGGACTGCCAACTCTCCAAGGTGTTTGAGACACACATCAAATTATAGCTTATTTCATCATATTTCATTTTCTGTTCATTTTTTTTTTGATGTTAACCAGTGGATTTTGGGAGAACAATCCATCGAAAGATCATCACCTTTAAAAGTAGTACTGTAGCCCATCGCCATTTTGGAATTAGATGCCTGCGCTCCATTGCAAAATAGAGCAATTGTAAGGCCTAATTTCATCCGAATTTCACGGAAATACGAGCTTGCAGTCATGTGCACGGCTTTCACTCTTCC